CCATTGGAACGTGGGAGAATAGGTCCACTGGACGTGATTGCCATTGCTCTTGTTTTGTAATTTGTCCCGCTTTAACTAGTTTGTTCAAGGTCTTGGTGATGTGATAGTCAAACTTTTGAATGGGAATTATCTTTTGGTCGATATACATTTCATCCCATGAGTAAGTCCTCCGCCTTTTTGGTATAGTCGCCTTTATCCGTGACTGTGGTGCGGCCTTTGTCAGCTGGAATTATAACTACGTTCGTTTTGTTCTTCACTTTCTTAATAGCTGTTCTTCCCTAATTAGTTAAGTGCAGTTATGCTTCCGCTTGGCCAGAGGTAAGATTACTTGTCAGATTCTCTGTTGGGTCTCAGAATTTAGTCCCAAAGTCTTCAGTGATGACTTTAGGGATGTGAAAAACTCTGGTTCTGGAGTGTCTACAATGTTGAAGTTTGTCGAATTTGGTCAGAGGTTGTTTCGACAAGTTGACTAGACAGTCACTTGCTTCTTTCCTATTTGGTGCTCGTGGTTTTGAAGTCTTGGAAAGCTTCTCTCGAAGGATTTTCCTTCTGTATGCTTTATATCGTTCGCTTAATTTTTCAGTCTTAATTGCCAACTTTGTTCTATTATGAGTGTTCCCTGGAGCTTCTTTTTTGGGTGTCTATCGTTGTTGTCCGAATCCAGTAATGAGCAACGGTGATCATCAGTTGTACCATGTATTGTATACCCATTTCCACTAATTTCAAGCTCATCAGACAGTCTCTAGGTTATCTCTATCTGACACTAGTTGGGATAACATGCTAGCGTGGACTTTTGTGGGGAAGATATAGTTATCCTCTTGTGGAGGCTTGTCTCTTGGCGAAGTCCTCCTGTTTCCAACATGGTAAAACAAACCAGACATTATCTACAAAGTAAACTGAAAACATACTGCATCGGACAGTGGTTCCTGGCTTCGTATCCGTCTACATGAACATCAACTAACAGTGAAACATCATAACGTATCTTCACTCATATCAATCCATACGGTCAACTGTGGACATGGATTCCACTGGGAAAATGTGGGAATACTGGAAACAAGAAATACAGAGAATGCTAGAGAGTTTCTAGAAGCTTGACATTCACGTCAGTCAGTGATCAACTAATATATTGATATTGTTACAATCTATCTACTAATGAGAAACAATGAGAAGGTCAAAGTTCACGTCGGTAGGACAACCAATCATAATGCGCGTGGAGAAAATGACAAGACTTTGGCAGAAACAACCAATCACACACAAGACCATCAAGACAAATCACTAGGCCACTTGTGAGGAAAACCCAATAGTTCACTTCTTTCTGAAGTTTGTGCTGATGACGTTGTCTAGAATGGCACTGAAGCTTCACGAACAAACCATTCAGCTCAGAGAACGCAATAGCATCAAAATCAAACTAATTCTCCTATGGTTGTACAGAAAGTTTTCTTTCCCTTCTTGTAGACTGAGGTGATTAATGAAGTACACCGGTCTGATGGCACTACCTCTGATTCCATACACAACTTAGTACCTCTGTTACTCAACTCAGCAATTTCTATCTTTATCCATAGAAACTTCAGGTAGTAAAGTATCATGTCCTGCTCTTTTGCATCGTTTCAGTTGCGATACAGCTTTCTCAACCCCTAAGGGAGTTGAAAGACTGATATCTACGTTTCATTCAGGTCCAGACTGTATGTTGGGCAACTGAAGCATTGCTGTCGGCCATCTGAAGCGTACTTCTAGCTGCCTATCTTAAGGGTTATCAGCGTCCCACCCTTGTCCGTCATGGTTTCACTAACCATCATCTTTTTGGTGGTATCCGTAATAAGCCTAGACAGTTACTGAGTGTTATCCAAGGCTGATGCCTTCTCTATTTCTCTCACTTTCACCACCGAGCACTTCTGGTGACCGACATGAAGACTTTTGATTCTTTCTACTCTACTTCAGAGCCTGCTGGAATCAGTTTTATCATACTTATCAGTTCAGATGATGTCATGGAAACCCAATGACGTTTTGCTTACCTTTGATTGTAGGTTGACAATTGTCTTTACAGCTTTTTTTTCAGTCGACGTAATATCTTGCCAAATTACCTCCGGATGATCATTGCTGTTACATTCAGATAAATGCTTATCTTACTCCTCTCAAAATGCGTGTTTGACTTCCTCGTCTTGCAACCGACCACAAACAGGCTTTGCTATCAACTGTTTCTTGTCACCAGTAAGGCCCAAACATACACGATCCCGTACTAGCGCGTGATCGGAGTCCAGACTGGTACTCCAGAAAGAGTGGCAATCGTCCACCGATGCTCTCCAGCGATGGCTTATAATAATATGGTTAGAAGTTGGTGGATGCCATATGAGACAGTGTCTTTCCTTATGCCTAAAGTTAGTTCTGACCATGAAGATTGATTACTGGAGCTAAATTGCGACAGGTGATCACCGTTGTCAGTTCGTTGACATGGCATTCCGTAAATACTTCGAAGATACCTTTCCGATTGGCTCAGTTTCTATTCTTCATCATTAAAGTCACCTGGCATTAAGACTATATTTGAACGTTTTGCTTTCTGTAGCAAAGTTGACAGTTTCTCGTACAATTCATCCTTTGCATCAACCGAACTACAGTCGGTGGGTGCGTACGCGGATATTACCAATAGGCATCGGTGGTCTCACGATCCTTCCTAGTCCTAAAGGTCCATTCAATCGAACAGCACATAGACGGCTGTTTACTGAAATCCAGTCGACGATTGAACTTTCTGCTCTACAACTCAGTGCTATGCGTACACCAGCAAGTCCACGAGAGCCAATCATTATGTCTCTGGATACACTTAAGGTGAGTTTTGAAGATTCACTACTACGACCAGATGAGATCAGTTCACTATCCACACTTGGGTCCTGTATGGGTTTCTCAGAGATATGACTAGAGATTACTGGGTTTTGGCGAGCGATGGTTGCTGTCCGATCGGCATAGAGTTCAGATGTTAAAAGCTCCAACATAAAATCGATAGTGGGGTCTTAGGAGACTAGGAATAAGGTTTCGATGGGTTTTATCGTTGACACTGGTCGCAGAATGAGAGGTTGGGTAAGGTATACGAGGTTTAATATCACTATCGGGAGGTGAAGGCTAAAGAGGAGGCAGAGTTGAGGAGTATAGGTTGCGTTTGATTGTGTGTTGTGAGGGCGGTTGAAACTTACCGGATGCGCATGCCACGGAAGGCTACTTCTTTTTGAAGTACCTGAAGAAGAGTGGATAGTGTGTGACCGGAGAGTCCAGGGGACATCCTCTTGAGGTCGGTCACACACGGCCTTTTGGCAAGTTTGAGGCTTTTGTTTTTCACTTTCGAACCAAGATGTGAATCTCTGCTGCAGACATCGGCTTGCCACGAGGAAGTAGGAGTGTTCTATTTTTGGGGTCGACTTTTTCTAAGGCCCCGTTCTCATAGAGAAGGTAGGATCAACGTGGCACTGCTGGTTATCCTAGGGAAACACCTTACTGTTGTCACACTCCCGTCAAGTCAGCGGTATGACTTGACCCTCAGACCCTCATCATACCGTGGCAATTTACACTTTAATGGTAACTACTTTTTACCTAACCACTGTTCAATATACGTTTTGGGGATATTAGGACCTCTAGGGAATAAGCGTTCCATTGGTGTAGCCTGTTGGATCATTGTGATATACAAACCCGAGTACCGCGTCAAGGTTGCAGCTATCGATCGGGTGCTATGGCTTCACTAACTTGATTTTTGATCCCAGTTTCATTGAAAATTTTAAATAACTATTTTTGCTTATCGTCACTACCTTCACCTTCATTGTCTTTTCCGTTCACCACCGTTTATGGTCATTGTGTAGTCTGTTTCTCAGTAAATTTTGAAGTTGCTCCGTCCCTCGTTGTGTTCGGAGCCTGCAGGATTGCGTTTCCGGGTATCCATTAGTTGGAAAACTGTTGAAATCTACTGTCGTTTTGTACTTTTTTCTGAAGGTCAGTTTAGGAATTTAATGCTATTTCTACGATATAACGGCGAGAGACATCTTACTTTTCCAGGTGAGTGGCGCTACTCTCTAACTGTCCAGTCAGTTTCTCATGGAGAGAAGCCTTGGTATCCTGTTTGTCAAGCTGTCCTTGACGATCTTGCAGCTGTAGTTTTCTACTTCTATTTAGGAGCAGGTACAGGTGTGCTCAAACTGTGTGATCGCTGGCCAAAGGCGTGCTGTATACGGAGCATTGTCCCTCTTTATGTTTGAAGTTTGCGCTGGCCAGAAATAAACAGTTATCCGACCACAGTAGGTGATTGCCTTTATCTATTCGTTCGGCTGGGATTCCGAAAGTGCCATGTAAGTGCCTTTTTGGAGACTGTTCGGTGGAGCTCATCTTTGACTTCATCCGAAATCCAGTCAGTGGGTGCGTAAGCAAAGATTATAAAAAGAGACGGCGAGTTTGACTATTCTTCTCAGTCCCCCCTGTACCGTTCAGTCGAACGGCTCATAAGTGACTGCCAACTGGGTTTTAGTTGAGAAGTATACTTTCTACGCTTCGGTTCTATTGATATACTTTCACCTGCAAGAGTCTGAGAACTATTCGTGGCATATCCAAAAACTTGTCAACTGAATTTAGCAGCCACCAGATTGATTTTCTGAAATCAAGTGAATAATTTTATTTAGGTATAATAATGATGGATAGTGGCTATCGATCATTACAACATATAATTAAAACTGGCAATATCGAGGCATCCGCACAGGAGCCTATATGCCAATAGAGGCCGATTCAATCAACGACGGTATAATACAAGCAATTATACTAATCTTATTTAGCGCCTGTATGCGCGTTTCATCAGCAAACTTTACTAGAGAAAATATCAGTCGTATGTCCCAGGTCATTAAGACAAACTACTAAATTATATGAAAATTCTCAGTTTTCCTAATCGGTTTTAAAAACTTGTTGATTCTAGTAAGTCAATGCTTAGTTTTATTAGATTTTAAAATTTTCTTTAAAAGCTTGATTTCTTATCTTAGGAGAAGAGAAGAAACTTTCATTGCCCAATGGGAAAATTCCATGTGATATACGCCCCATCATAACAAACAGAGAGGATGTAGAATATTATGTAGTTGATCAATATTCTGGGCAAGTAATTTTCATACCTTCTGGATGGTATCATCAAGTTGTAAATATAGTAAGTATACAATACAACTTTTCCGTTAAACTATAATATTTAACAGCGTTTAAGCACGTATATCGCATAAGTCACCTTATTAATTCAAAAATTATTCCAGCTCTTTTCATGTCCGATGCAAAAAACCTAAACAGATAAAATTAGCATTGAACCTTGCACAGAAGTGTATTGGGTCAAGTTACTACACTTCACAGTGGGACGCGAAGGATAAAGGGATAAGGAAATTTCAAGTAAGCGAAAGTGTATGGAAGCAGAAGGAATTTGAAAATGAAAATCTTTAAGCTTTAGATGTCAAGGAGTACCACTGTAATCGGTTTTTTAACCATTTCACCAACAGTCTGCAACCACTGATTCTTATTATCTCAAGGACCCCAGTCAAGCGGTTTACAACTGCCTACATGGCTCAGACCAGTAGTCAGATACTTTATTAAATGGTGCCATATCTTCATCTGGTCATCCTGAGCCTTCTTCTAAACCTAATCCAACTTTTCTTTGCATTTCACGTCAAGGTAGATGGTGGGTTGGCATATGCAACACATGATCAAGCCATCTCAGTTGGTGAAGGTTCATAATCTTATCGACTGACTTGACTTCTTTGTCTAGGACATTTTTCGTTAACCCCAATATTGGTGATATGGTGATTCCACCATAGGAGAACAGTGCTACGAATAAACATGTAGTCAAAGACCTGTAACCACTTTATCTCTTTTACGCTTAATTCTCATGTCTTACAACCGTACAGCAGGGCAGAATTGAAAGCAGGGCAGTAGAATTAAGCACCAAGAAATGTATTACATAACACGAATTAGAGTTTTAAGATTAGAAGATGAAGGATCTATCCATCAACCGTACTACACTGAGATATTGAATATGAATTTCTAAAATACAGTACACACCAATAGTAAGAACTTTCAGTGTTCTAGTCAAGCAACTGTTGATCGACTTTTTAGACACTTTTCTCAACTCAAGACAAGAGAAACAAGCTGCAAACTTCTACTGTGATATGCCATTTAGTGCGACAAACTTTAACGTAAGATATGGTATAAACTGCATGGGAAAAAATATCCTGATGTAAGGAGCGACAAAAACTGAGACACAGGACGGAATGTTTATTTTAACATCTTGTACAGTACTGATGAAATATTGTGCACTTTTCATTAAAATAATCATTTGTACAATGTGCTTCATTTCCTCTTCTGTTTCTATCTCGATTTGCTCCTAATACGCCCACATTGTCTCTTGCGTTTCTCTGGGTAGAATATTTACCTATCGTTCGTAATTGCCTATTACTTCTACCAACCTCTCAATATATACTACGTATCCCAACCATCTTCATCGATTGAGATGGTTGGGACACGTACTACGTATGCCTAGTCACTGATTGCCTTGTCACACAATGTTGGCTGAGGTGGGTCCAGGCTGGAAAAAGGTTCGAGGTGGCCAGACTAAGACATGGCACCAATGTATGAAGTCTCTAACTGTTAGTTTGAGTCATGTGGGGCGATGCGGACTAGGTGGTTGGGGTCGGCGGGACAAGAGAAACCAGTGGTTGGAAACTAGGGGATATGGCTCAGAACCGATGTCAGTGGCGCAGATGTATACACACATTATCCTCATCTTAACGACGACGCTATACCGAATCTCACCATTTGTCACTCCTCTTTCCTTTATTCTCGTACTTTATATTTCTTTTGACTGCATTCATTTATCTTGATCCTTCAGCTCACTAGCTTTCTACTTGATGAAATGACGCGAGGTGTGGCAAATTGGACCGTTACGCAGTAATGCCTGGTCCTATGTTGATATTTATTGATTACTGATTGATATACTACTTGTATCCATTCTTATCAATAGCACCCACTACACTGATACATAATGAACATTTTCATAACAGTATGTTCAGGATCTGTAAGCTTTTGAATGTGGAATTATTTCTTACTAATCTTCACTTTTCATTGCATTATTTTATTATTTTCATACATCATGTTGCAAATATGATGTTATCGGGTTTCGAAAACCAAAGCAATAGTCATCTTTAGCGCGTTGTACCAAGTTTTGCGTAATTCACTGAAGAACTGTGAACGCTCTTCTCCCCCTCCCTTCAGCTGATCGTTCACTCTTTGATGCCTAGAACCAAGTTGATATCCAAAGCATATTGAAATCAGTCGACGGTCACAAAATAATTCAACGTAGAATAGAGATCACACGCGAAAAATGTGTAACATCTGTTATGCCTATCATCTACCTACACATAGTTAAAATGCATGAGATTTAACAAATTCCTCTCTCTTATATATGGCTGATATCATCTAAATACAGAAAGTCAAACACATACGAATTCGAACTATGAGATTGGAAAATCGACACGGCGACAAAGTATAATTACAAGCTAGTTTGCCTCTTAGTGACAATTGTGGCAAAACATTATAATTCAGTGAATTCAGTTTCAGACACAATTCATTATTCATATTCGTGTCATGACCATTCCATAACCTTGAGAACAGGCTCTATGATTTCTTTGTAATTCTGTAGATCTATGTTTTTAACGTTGATTCACCGGACAAAGATTCACTCATGCATCTTATCTAGCTAAATTAGATTTCAAATTGGTTATCACAAATTGAAATTGGTTGGAGAATTCATTAAAAACCTTGGAGCATTAGACAGCTGTTTCGTCCCAGTATGGGACTCCTCAGCAGTTTACACGTATGACCTCGCCAGGGATTACAACATTGTTGTTTTACTCCGTGCTGCCGTTTGTCGGTGTGTGGTTGTATGCATGGCTATGACTCAGCTGTTTTTGTTAAATTCCACAACTTATCAGGATCTATCATTTCATACTTAAATGCATCATTGTACTTTAGTGATGCAGCTGATTAGTGTAATGCCAGTCAACATAGGTATTTCTTAGTCTCAGTTTTGCTGAGAATTATGGTTAGTGACTGTCAGAAATGTGACCCGTAGTAGATCATAGTGGTACAAATGTCTCTTCAGTGTTGATCAGTTTTAAAATTTTAAACATTCACGCTAACCTTCGTTTATTTATTCTCGATCTCTTGTATACTTTGATCGATTTCAATATCATTCATTTTCTATCCATATTTTTGTGTACTTAAAATGCACGCTCAACAACCCTGTGGATATTCGTGCAGTAGGCAATAAGTCACACAAACTCGAAGGTCTATAGGCAAAAACTAACAAGTTGACAGAATAGGCAACGAAAACGGAACTTCAAGTGAATGTAGAGAAGACAGAGGTGATGAAGATGCCCAACCAACAACAACGACAAGCATCAATCACTATTAACGAGGGAAACCTAAAAGAAGTAGTCTCTTTCACCTACCTAGACAAAGCACCTTTGTTTCAACTACGGGCGGTGGCGGCACAGATGACGATGTCAAAACCAGGATCGGAAAGACAGCAAGACAAGCGTTCATCAACCTGAAACCAGTGTGGAGATCTACTGCACTGCACTCAGCATAAAGCGTGAACAACATCCGGATTTTCAACACCAACGTCAAGTCAGTGCTTCTGTATGGTTCAGAGACTTGGCGCGTTACGAAAGGGATCTCTGACAAACTACAGACATTCATCAACAGCTGCCCACGCTCACTCGATACTGAAGATCAGATGGTCAGAATAGTAAGAATAAGTAACAAGGAACTCTGGCCTGTCAACGAACCAACCAAGAAGCTGTCACCCAACAAATATTCAGAAGAAAGTGGAGATGGATTGGATTTGGCATACACTGACAAAACCATTCGGGGACATCATGCACCAGTCCAGGGTGTCGAGTGGAACCCGCATCGTAAACCACGAGTTGGGCGTCCAAGGTGAGGATGACATGGAGAAGATCATGTGAGGAAGAAATGAAAGCTTGTGGGCAGTGGTGGAACCAGGTTGAGAAGACTGCAGAGAACAGAGTGCAGTGGGAGGCGTGCTACTAAATCCGTATGTTCCACTAGGAATGCAGTGGAAAAATAATAATTATTATTATTGTTATGTGAGAGCTAATGATACTACCTGACTGTTCAAACTTCGGCAGGTGGAGCAGGACTCGAACCCGTAACCCATTGATTAAAAGTTATCTCTGTAAACCAATCAGCCACTATTATACAGTATAACAACCTGGACTGAGGTGCACTTTTGTGTAAGGTTCTGCGTTGGTTTGTTTTATTTTTTCGTGTGGGTTGTGAATGAGTACGTTTCTATTTGTGTTTTATTTTCATATATATTTTTGCCTTATTAATGGTTATATGTGGGATTTCTTTGTCATATCCCCCCATACACATGTAGACGGACAGTATTTCAATCAATCATAATTGGTTTAACGCTACAAATGTAAGCTATGTTTGGGATCATTTAAAAGATCAATTGAAGGCTATTGAAGAATCAACTATGGATGTCTGTTCAACTCCTGGATGGCATGAAGAATGCCAAGTAATTGGTCTGACTATTATTATCATTATTATTATTGTTTAAACATGTTTGCTGAGATTTCTAGTGGGATTTTCTTTCATTATCCGAGTATTTTTCTCAAAAATTTCTACCAAGCACTTTGTATCCTTATCGTTACAAAACACTATCTCACGACGAAAACACAAAGTTTTGCGTTCGATATCTTTGTATTTAGGGAATAATGATATTTCGATTTAGAAGCATGTGGGGATTTTATTGACTTCAGTTTGATATTCATCATTAAGTGACATCAGTTGCAGAAACATTGGATATCTAGAAGCACTGGTTAGCTGTTTCATCATAGTATGGGACTCCTCAGCATTGTACACCCACGACCCCACCGGGGATCTGACTCAGGACCTTCGGGTTCCATGGCCAACACTTTACCATTGAACCACCAGGTACTCAACAGTGACACTGGATGAAGGTCTCGCTATGGGCTATTAAATTCCAACCCTGTGGATCAATGGTAACGCGCTGGCCGCGGGACCTGGTGGGCCGGGTCATGGGTGCGCATTGCTGAGGATTCCCATACTCGGACGAAACAGCTGTCCAGTGCCCCCGGGTTTCTAGTGTTTCTCCAACTGATGTCATTCCATGATGAATACTAACCTGAAATCAATAATATTTAATAGAGACTACTCCTTATATATTAGAGAGAATACACTACTTTTTACGATTGTAAAGTAATAGAAAAGGTTTATAACTGGGATCTGTTGAATTGGATAGGATCTAATCAACAAAACTGAATGCCTCCCTACTAGGAATTTCATTATTATGTTAAATTAGATTGATGCAAGTGTGTCCGGCTTGACTCTGTTCAATAGTTACCATAACCATTGGTGTCATTATTAATTCTTTAACAGAAGTGATATCTTTAGGTTTCATCTGAGTTACAGATAGGTTGAAGTTGATTCCTTTCTAGTATGTGTTGAAGCTTATCTTAGCTGTTGATACCTAATGTCAGGTTTAATAAAATATTCAAATGGTTGAGCCAAGAATCTAATTAATACTTCGAAAAATCTCTAAATAAGGAAATATGACAGAAAAAGCATCAATAGTCAACAACCTTTACATCAGATTTTATTCCTAAATTTGAAGTAACATATGCGGGAAGGGGGGGGGAGTAGATAGTTGAAGCATCACTACAACTCAACTAATGTGAAAGTTAAATTCCCCTATGCTGTCGCTTTATAACAAGGAAACACCGAAAATTTTACTTGGGATTTCTAGATAAACTTTAGCTTGATATTCAAACCTATAAATCTGATTGGTTGGATAATCCTATCCGTCTAATTTAACAAAATTATTTTAATTAAATTTTGAGGGGGTTGTGGAGATTTGGAAATATTTCAAGTTGTTATTCATCGAAGACTGACATCAGTTGGAGGAACAAAGGAAACCTGGGAGCACTGGACAGCTGTTTCGTCCTAGTATGGGACTCCTCAGCAGTGCTGGTCGCGCTGGTCGCGGAACCTGAAGGTCGCGGGTCCGACCCCTGCTGGTGGGGTCGTGGGTGCGCACTGCTGAGGAGTCCCATACTAGGACGAAACAGCTGTCCAGTGCTCCCAGGTTTCCTTTGTTCCTCCAACTGATGTCAGTCTTCGATGAATAACAACTTGAAATATTTCCAAATCTCCACAACCCCCTCAAAATTTAATTGAACTAGTGCTCGTTGGTGACTAGCTTCGAGAAGTATTCCCGAAGTTCCAATGACAAGTCGTGACCGGTGGAGTCAAAGCCTGATGGCCGTGAGGACAAATACTCAACGATGACATTGGGTGGCGGTTTGCGCTATATCGTGAGCTAACAGAAGTTGGAAATATGGAGCATTGGACTCTGACCCAGTGGCTCAATGGTAACGCGCTGGTCGCGGAACCTGAAGGTCGCGGGTCCGATCCCTGCTGGTGGGGTCGTGGGTGCGCACTGCTGAGGAGTCCCATACTAGGACGAAACAGCTGTCCAGTGCTCCCAGGTTTCCTTTGTTCCTCCAACTGATGTCAGTCTTCGATGAATAACAACTTGAAGAATTATTTTAACCTGTCATGTGACCCATCATAAATGCGTGAAAGTAGTCGATTAGAAGGCTTTCAATTTCGATGAAATAAGTAGTGCTAATCTACAAAAGTATCGAGTGTAATAGACCGTAAAGCTCAAGATGATATTGATATAAACTCTAATCTGATCGTAATCCGTTTACTGTTCGATCATAGATTTAATGCATAATTTTTTCAGCCGTGTCAATGTCATCCAGTAGGAAAGGTTACAAATCACAAAGACTAATCCTTTCAAACTCGGTGGAATCTAGCTGGATGAAAAATGATAAGTAATCTAGAAAAACTTAACGGTAGCTATCCATGCAATGACACAGATACTATGGTGAGAAAAAAATTAATAGTCCTTAAGACCAATACAGTTTGGAAGAGCAAGATTGACTATTGAATCTGGATAGATTAAATTAGCCCAATAAATCCAGGTGAAGGATTCAGTACTCATTCCCGGGATATGAGAGTAGTTCTTTCATCGTTGGAATCAAGGCATGATAAACGTAAAGACAACCGACATAAGACCTGACATATACTTCGAGTTACCATACTTCATAACAACCCATCAAGGTGAATAGGGACAAGAAAAAGAAGAATAAAGTAGTGAAAATGATTACATCAGCAGTTGTAAGATAAAGGCTAAAGGGAATAGTGAGTATACACTTATATTGTATCTTCATTTAGGTAAAGATGTGGCATAAATGCGTCTACGCTGTTGTAATACCACAAAGTCTTCAATTTGAATTGTTTCGTGGATCCCATTTGGGAAGCTTACACTTTCCTGTACAATTCAGACCAATAGTCAGAGAGTTTTGGTCTAGTCACCATTACATTTAAGTCTACTTCAGCAAACATTATGTATTGAAGTAGTTGATGGGTTAGTATGCATAACACATGACTCATTCGATGAAGGTTCACAAACGCGTTACCTATCTTATCGTGGCCTTCTAATACTCTACGCCTAACCTGTACATTCCTTTCTTCATCGGTAGTGCTAAGATGGCAACAGTGGGAGAATATCTTAAGCCTTTTCATATCATTCACATTCAATGGCCACGTGTCACAGACATGTAGTAACGTAGAGTAAACATTTGAATGTCTCGTGACCTGTATGAATGGTGAAATTTAGCGGAAACTGTTCAAAACTTCAACGGTCAAGAAGAAATTTCGTTAGCCAGGGTTGATTCGATTTTTTGGGTGATTAAGTTGTTCTATTCCATATTTTCAAATGAATTAAAGACGCACGTCAGTTTTGAAGTCAAAATTTTAATTTACAAGATAACAAATACATACTTGTTATTCCCTGTTGTTTTATTAGATCGAACTGTTTGACTTCTATTGGCATATGGGCTCCTATGCGGATACCTCGATAGAGGTCGATCAATTCGATCCAATAAAACAATGCAGAATAACATGTAAATAAATAGTACTAACTACTAACCGTTATACAAGAAGTGGCTAACTTTCCTCCGTGGCGTAGTGAATAATGCCTTGGCGTTTGAAGTGATGGGTATGGGGTTCGAGTCTCAGTGGGAGAAGCATCACTCCTCACTGGGGTGCAGGCACACCCAGCTGACGACTCCCAAATAGAACGGAACGCGCGCCATCGATTCTTCTGCCAGCCACAACCAACCAAATTATCGTAACAAATACACTTCAAACACTTCAATTTTTATTGAACATGTTCAGAAGACTTGGGTTTTTGCTGACTTCACACCATCAATAAGAGACACTTCTATCAGACTTCTTGATGATTGGAGTCAAAACTGCCTTCATTTCGAGAATTGCACCTAGTGTTTATTGCCAGAAAGTAGTCCCGTTTTTAATGATTTAGTAGAAAGTGGTGGTTTGATCGAAGTATCCATAGTTAGGTCCAAAACCTTCCTAATTTCCTCTTAGTCTCTGTTCCTGAAATATAGTTATGCTTGAAATGATTATGGGATTTAGCATCGTAGTAACTAATTAGGCTATTTCTTCTGTGGTTATCATTCAAAAAAATTGTCTTTCTTCTTGGAAACCAGGACAATGCACATCTAAGATCAGTTACATGGAATAGTATTTGAACTGCCTACGTATACTTTAGTTCGTCTGACTAGTAATCTTGAGTAACCATCTTTTAATGAAAAGCGATAGAATGTTCAAAAGTTGTGCAGCTACTGTGATATAACTACAGGTGGTTGATTATGCTTGAAACGTCATCCAGTAAGCAATACTATGTCTCTGTGCCACATAAACTAAATTTGTCCTGGCATTTGAGCTACACAACCTATCTTCGACTAACTACTCCAGACTTTTTTAACGAATCTAACCAGGAAACCTGCAGTGTAACTTACAGGAGTTAAGCTGATATCATGGTGCTTCATAGATTGGTTACCATTCCTAGATTTTCTAAATGCTAAGATTCAGCACATATAGCACACTTCCCAACCATCCCTAGGTTCAGGATCAGCACTAAAAATTTAGAGATTTCATAACTCATAAACAGTTTCTTAGGTAACAGTGACTAAGTACGTGTGATTGCTGTATTCGTAAATCTTCAACGGTTATTCTTCATTGTTGCATATTAAAACAAAGTGTGATGCTGTCAGTTATTTTGAAGCATCACATATTGTTGGTAGAAACTATAGAAGACTTTTTTGATGGTCTTTTGTTCTTTGAGCTGAATGGTTTGTTCGTGAAGCCTTCAGTGTCATTCTAGACAACGTCATCAGCACAAACTTCAGAAAGAAGTGAACTATTGGGTTTTCCTCACAAGTGGCCTAGTGATTTGTCTTGATGGTCTTGTGTGTGATTGGTTGTTTCTGCCAAAGTCTTGTCATTTTCTCCACGCGCATTATGATTGGTTGTCCTACCGACGTGAACTTTGACCTTCTCATTGTTTCTCATTAGTAGATAGATTGTAACAATATCAATATATTAGTTGATCACTGACTGACGTGAATGTCAAGCTTCTAGAAACTCTCTAGCATTCTCTGTATTTCTTGTTTCCAGTATTCCCACATTTTCCCAGTGGAATCCATGTCCACAGTTGACCGTATGGATTGATATGAGTGAAGATACGTTATGATGTTTCACTGTTAGTTGATGTTCATGTAGATGAATATGAAGGGGGCGATCACTCTGTCTGATGTAGTATTTTTCACAGTCTCTGCAATTTATTTTGTCAATAAAGTTTAGTTTATCCTCGCTATCGGATCTTTTGGCTTACATAACATAGAGTGGAGAGATTTTGTAGGCTTATGGGCTGCATCGATTCCAAGTCTTCAATAATCTAGTTGGGATCTCGGAGACATTCTTCATGTAGGGTAAAACAATTCGTTTGTCGGTTTCCAAGGCTAACTTTTCGGTTGACGGCACATTAGAAGGAAACAGCTTTTGGTGATGATGCGTAGATAGCCGTTCTTCTGGAAAACGATCATGAAATAGTTTTTTGTCTTCTCCCCGTAAGGTTGATGTACACCACTGGAGAAAACCCCACACTTCTTTTTGAAGTTTGTGCTGATGATGTTGTTGTTTAGAATGATAATAAAAGGTTCACAATTAAGCCATACAACTCAGGGAACACAAGACCATCAAATACATTCTTCTCATAGTTGTATGCCAGTTTTACTTCCTTTAGTACCTGCATATGTGACCTAGAAAATTTTTTTACTAAACTGGATGTAACTCGTAGCTGAAACTTAGAAATGATAACAAAGAATGACAGTGTTTTTGATTAAAAGCTATTTACTTCAACTGAAGAAGGTAGAAACATGTGAAACAGCATGTTATATTGTATGCGAAGAAAACAGGTAACTAACAACATGAAGAACTGTAAAAGTAATTGATCCGTAGCTGGCAAAATTGAGTGTTTTTTTTTGGGGGGGGGGGTATTTATGGATTTCAGGTCGATATTCTCTAATGTTCATTAGTGGCTTTGTTCTGTATGAGATACCCGAAATTCTAATGAAAAATCGTGACCAGTGGGGGTAACTAAGTCGAACATGAGGACAGTTACTCAAAGACAGCACTGCATGGAGGTCGCGCTGTATCGCGAATTGACTGAAGTAGGAAACTGTGGATGAATGGTTAACAAATTCGCCTTCAAACACAATGGTTCTGAGGTCAATCCCCAACCAGCTCGTGGGTGTGTACCGCTGAGGAGTCCCATACCAGTGCTCCCAACTTCTCTATTTTCTCCGACTGATGTCGTTATGCGATCAATGCTAACCTGAAATCAAAAATAATCATTGAAAACGCCAATCTAAAGTGTTTTTGAGTAAACTATACAAAGGTGAGAATTAAACGCCACCTATCTCTAACAATCTTTGTTAATATTGAAACATTGATGCTAGCGAAACTCTTACACTAGCATACAGCTACTAAGTTACGTGTATATTTCAACTTAAATTGTTTATATTATCATGATAAGGTTTTTAATTCAATGTATTTTCGCCTTTTTACTTAGACTTGCTTACGTGCACTCTCTGGAATGAATTTTAAAGAATTCTTCTCACTGTTAAAGTATATTTTAATCACTCGATTACCGAGACACATTGATGATATGAATACTGTAATAAATGAATTTTTGAAAAAATGCAAATCTACACAATACACATCGTTAGATGTACTTGATGATCTAATGAATTGTGAATTAATCAATCTAATCAAAACAAATTTAGATATATTTCATACTGCTGTAAAAAATCCCAACTTATGGAAAGAGTATTATACAAGTGATACTGATGCATCAAATTGGATACGTGTACATGACTTTTGTATGGTGATACAAATTATGAAACAATTTATTCAACATCCTGTTGTGAAAATTCTAAAGCTTTGTAATGATATATTAAAATCATTTTTAGAAAGTTTTTAAATGTATTATTTTGTAAATTTTTGGTTGAGTATTTATAATTTTTTGTATTTGATCTGTAATATTTTGGTTAAAACAACATTTGATACGTTTTAACAGTTTTTGTCTATCCTTAAATAGAAACTGTATGAATTTCGATGTATAGTCCTTATCAAACATCCTTTTAAATTATTCTTCTAGGTTATATCACAGTGGAAAACACTAATGTATGGATAGAAAGATCAGTTTGAACAATGTAAGAAAAAAGACAGAAGTTGAAAATATAAACTGTTGGATTCCGACCCAATAGCTTAATGGTGACGTGCTAGCTAAGGAACCTGAAGGTCATGGTCCGATTCCTGGTGGGGTCATAGGTTTGCACTGCTGAGGAGTCTTATACTGGGGCGAAACAACTGTCCAGTGCTCTCAGGTTTTCAATGTTCTAACTGATGATATCAAATGTCTTTGTTCTTGCATTTTTCAAATTTGTCAAGGGAACTAAATGTAAGACAAGATCAGGATGAGACCTGACATTACTATATGACGGTCGAAGTTGCTACACCTCATGCCAGCACATTAAGTGAGAATACACTGGGCTGAAACACAAAGAAATAAAGTAGAAAGCAGTCGAAAGTGTTAGAGGACTAAAAAGGATGAGAGAGCCACGTCACCTGCAATCTCCAACCACTAGTTTCAGTTGTCACAGACATCAACCGGTTAGTCTACATTTCTTTATATAACTCAGATTAACAGTCAAAGACTTCATGAACTAGTGCCGTGTTTTAGTTTGACCACCTCTTACTCTTTCCCAGCCTGAATCTATTTTACCTAACATTGTACGGCAGTGACTTTCCTCATTTCCCTAAAATTCTACGTCTGACTTCATTTTAGTGACAGGGTGACATCACTACACACCACCTATGCCACGAAGGCAGTAGCGGTCAAACTCCTGAAGCCCTCTTCATATCCTCCACTTTTAATGACCATGTTTAACAGCCATATAGTAGAGCAGAGAAAACTGTAGCTCAGTATAGTTGACCCTTAATTTATACGTGGATATCACTGCGGCCCCATGAGTGGCGAGAGTTGGTGAAAGCCAGACGAGCCTTTATGTATTTGGGCGGAGATTTGCTAGTTACTGACCTGACTTCTGGGGTCGACGCGCCAAACCACTCCACTCATATTGTTAGAGCACCAGTGAAGACCAACCCTGGAGTAACAGTCTGCATTTAGGTGATGCGAAATATATTCTGAAATTGCCAGAAGACTGTCATCTACGCACTATAGGTCAACCATGAATTCTGCGATAAGATCAACCCCTATGAAGTTACTAAAAAAAGGGAGACCTCCATAAGAATATCTATGATGAAGTTCAATAAGAACGGAGAGTGGACATCCTTATCGGACACAACTTATCATGTAATCTAGTAAGCCCACATGTGTTCAAGTGAAAGTTTTGAGAGCAAGGGTGTTTTTACTCGGCACCTGTTTTAGTGAGAGATACTACTATAAAACCTCTCAGTTGAATGGCGCCTTCAGGTCAAGAAATACAGCTGATATCAGGCGTTGGTATTTCGCCTGTGCTCCAGAACCTGGCAGAGTGCCAATATCTGGTCAACGCACTCACAGTGAGATCTGAAACCTGTTTATTTTCCCCAGGTTTACTGTTTTTAGGTTCCATTTAGACGTCTGATGATAATAAAATCTTAGATACTATGTTCATGAAGCTGATTTTCTTGTGGTTGTCACAAGAGGACTTCAGTTAACCTAGCCGATAATCCACTATCATCTTCTTTAAATATATCCGGTAGTAGTTGATCTAGTTCTGATACCCTTCCTCGTTTCAGACTACTAATAGCTTCCTCAACTTCCGTAAGTGTTGGAAGCCCTACCTCAATTTTCCACTCAGGATCCGACTTCATAACGTGCAACTAAATATTAACTGAAGGCTAGTTGGAGTATGCCGTCTGTCGTTCCAGTCGTCTCTCCTGCGAGTGAATCACCCAGTTTCTTTGATAAGTCTGAATAACTATCTGGTATTACCTATCGCCGTGGCCTTTTCCATCTCTTTAGCCTTCATGCACACCAGCACTCGTGGTCATTGGGTTGATTTCTTGTCAGTCTAGATTTGGTTTGCTTCCGTCCCTCATTATGCTCAGAACTGCTGGGATGCGTTCTCGTACATCCACTGTTTCAGAAGAAGCTTCTGAGATACAATGGTTTTTTCTAACCACTTTGTGAGAGTCAGTTACAGTCTTCAACGCTGTTTTTACAGCAGACTGGAAATGGCGCAAGGCTTCTTTTGCACAGGTGGTGTTGTTCTGTACCGATCACTGTCTAGCTAGTTCCTTGCTTGAAATATCTGCATTCAGAATCGCCTTGTTGCTGTAGTCTTAGGACGTCCATTTAGTTGCAGACATACATGCTCGAACCAGCTCGTGAACGCTGTCCAAACATGTGCTCCAGAAGGAGTGGAAATCTCCCACCGGCGATAAATCATAGTAATATGGTCTATCTTTTTCCACTGCTGAGTCGAGGTTGGTGGACACTACATTAGACAATGACTCTCCTTATATGTGTAGTTTGTGGTGGGTAGAAGTAGATGGTTTTTCTGAACAGAGTTGTGGGAGGTGGTCACCGTTATCTGGTCGTTCGGCTGGCATCCCGAAAGTGCCTTTCTATCTGACTTAGTTCACCTACTTTTGAATTATGACCACCTGCTTCGACAACTACGCCTGAACGTTTGGCTTTCATTAGGAGGCCAAACAGTTTTTGATAGGACTCGACTGAACTGCAGTCAGAGGGTGTGTAGGGATAGATTTAAAAGAGACAACATCGAGTTTCATTATTGATTTAGGTCCTCACTGCGCCGTTCAGTTGAACAGCTCATAGATAACTATCGACGAGGATGCAGCCCAGCAGTACAGTTTCTACCAATGAACTCAGTGCCATACCTACATCTGCATGACTGTGAGGTCTAGTCACCGAATCTCCAGAGACTCGAAGGGTGAATTTTCGTGTTCATCATACTGGCCAGTGGAGTTTAAGTGAGCAACCGCACCTAGGTCCTGTATGTGCTTCCGACAAACAAAGCATACATCCGTTCGTGGGTGAGTGCGGGCATTAGAAGCTCCATGATAGTTTTAGGAGATTAGGGATGCTGTTCTGTGAACACAGACTGCTATCAAGAGCTGAAAGAGGTTTTAGGTTAAGTCCGAATGTCTGTTGAGAGACTTGAAGGAAGGTAAGAAGGTAAAGTTTGATAATGATCTGAAGAAACTTGAGTGCTAACAGAGTTGTGAGGGTAGTTGGCACTCCCTTGTTGACCACACCATGGAAGGCTAGTTCTTCTTGAGGTACCTGAAAAGGAAGGATGAGTGCGTGACGTCAGACTCCAAGGGATGTCTGCTTGTGGTGGGTCACATGGCTTTTTAAGATGCTTGGTATTTAGTTTTGTTAGTTTCGACCCCAACTATGAACCCATATCGTTCTCACTGGTATCTCGCGTAGTAAAAGATAGTGGGGTATTTTCTGACCGTAGGTGCTACTGCTCGTCCATAGGAAGTACCTTACTGCTGACACACCCCAGCCAGCAATATGCCCTTGATACCCACCATAGCATGAAAACTTAGACTATGACAGTAATTGCTTTTCCTTTCATCACTATCAACAGACCTTTTTGATATGATAGGACCTGAAGGGAAAAAGCTTTCCAGCCAGTGTAGCTAATCCGGTCATTGTGATATACACCCCCGACCAGCGCATCAAAGTAGCTGCTGTCAAGTATGGATGTATACTAAGATATATGGGGTATTTGTCAGGAGATTTCTCAAAAACGCCTTAATTCTGTTTTAATTTCAAGTTCTCAATAAATCTGGATTGGTATCCATTTTGTATGAGGACCTTCCGTAGTTTGGATACCCATCCAGACTTATTGAGAAGAACTTGAAATTAAAACAATACGGAACAAGAACTCACAGTTCCTAAAAAAACCTTGTTTATGAACGTTGACATTAAAGGCGATACGATAGCAATGATCCTGAAGAATCGGCTGTCTAGATCGCTGAAGAAGACATTCTTCTCTGAGAAGCTGCAGATCAGATTCTCTAGTTAGCAACTGATTCCGGAGCATGTTGCCTCTTTGGACCACCTCAATATGTGTCTACAAATTTATTTGCTCTTGTGGAGCTAGTTAATAGGCTGAGCACTATCCTGCATGGTTATCGAGGGAAGAGTGTAAACCAGTTAACGGTTCAATACCTTAGTTACTTGATAATGTATCACCGGTAAGTCGCTAAAGAAATATATTATTTCTAGGACTGAAAATCATAGGCAGTAGGTTACAGGTTAGAATTCTATTTCTACGATCGAGGTTTGGAAAAGCATATTGTATCATTAGCTTTCACATGACACGTCTGGTCCATTATCTGCTGCATGAACAGTCATGTAGTCTCTGAATTACATTCGTTTATTTATTGGTCAATCTTGTATTCCAATGTCTGTAGTGCTAATCAAATTTTATGATCGAAATTCTCTAATTTTTCACTTCCTTTTAGTAAGAAAGTCTACATTATTATACAAGTAAGTTTATTTATTCAACGTCGGTTGAGATAGCCACTGCAAACATATAAATCATTAGCATCCTAGACTACTTATTAGTCCGAAATAGCCCCAGGGAAGTCCATAGAAGATACAATAGAAATATTTATTAAATAAAAAAAGAGTTGAATTTTTGAGGGAGTTGTGGAGATTTGGAAATATTTCAAGTTGTTATTCATCATAGACTGACATCAGTTGGAGGAACAAAGAAACTAGAGCTCATTGGTGACTAGCTTCGAGAAGTATTCCCGAAGTTCCAGTGAGAAGTCGTGACCAGTGGAGTCAAAGCCTGATGGTCGTGAGGATAGTTACTCAACGATGACATTGGGTGGCGGTTGCGCTATATAGTGAGCTAACAGAAGTTGGAAATATGGACCATGGATTCTGACCCAGTGGCTCAATGGTAACGCGCTGGCTGCGGAACCTGAAGGTCGCGGGTTCGATCCCTGGCGGAGTCTTGGGTGCGCACTGCTATGGAGTCCCACACTAGGATGAAACAGCAGTCCAGTGCGCCAAGGTTTCCTTTGTTCCCCCAACTGATGTCAGTCTACGATGAATAGCAACTTAAAAAAGAGCAAGTATAGGTAAAAAGTAGTATGGTATCATG